AATAAAATTTTCTGACGATGCAACAATGACCCGATTAGGCAAGTGACTATTCTGTCAACTGTCCCGAAACGCGAGTGAAAGTCTTGTATCGCAGCGTGCAGCGGCTCTTGGAGCGCAGACAAGATGCGCCGATGTGAAGCCGTTTGAAGAGAAAGTCAAAGAGAGAAGTACAGAGAGTACAGCTGAATAACTCGCGCTGTTTTCAAATGACTGATCTGATCAGTCTGTGTGGACTGGACTCAGTCTGTAGGTTTGATTATTTACTCATCAAACCTACATGCTATTGAATAAATGTGTGAATATCCATAATTTTAAAGTCAAAAGCTGCGGGAATGAGTAAAAATATGCGCAATCCCGCACCGAAATTCAGGACCTGATTAAACACAATTCTATTATACAGAGTTTTGTGAAATAGATTTCAATGACTTTTCCAAAACTTTCTGGGTTTATTTATTTTTCCAAAACTTTTCCAGGCCTGGAAATTGGTGTTTTAAAATTCCATGACTTTTCCAGGTTTTTCATGACCGTACGAACCCTGCGTCTTATACTGTTGCTAAATTGCGGGACATGTTTGATAATAAAATGTTGAAAGCACAATCCGCACAAGAGACGCTGTTCCTCAGGCTGAAATGTGCGCGCGGCGCACTCCAAAACGGACAAACAAATTACACTTTCAGCTTTGGGCGCATGTCCAATCGATCAAATACACACACAAATATGTCAAAATGGCCGGCTTGGAGAGTATTTACTTAAACACAGTTTATGTCTTAAGTGGAGGAGAACAGTTGGGAGAAAATCCGATGTGTGTCAATATATTGGCCTAAGCGCCAGTCTGTCACTTTAAGACATCAAAATGCAAATCTGCTCTTAATCTGAATAACGTTGTAGCTTTAATAAGGATTAAACTATCAATATACACACTGAAAACTATGCAGTGTTCATTTACATTTGATTATTTTAGATTTCTTTTGTAGGCTATTACTTACCTGAACAGTAATGTTAGTAGAACTTAATGGAAAAATGACAGCACTGTTTATTTCATTTCAGTTGTATATTTGTTTTATTGTATTTGTCAGTTTGTTTTACTTTGTTTCTTTGTTCATGTTCTTACTGTATCTTACCATATTTATAAAACACTAAAAATGCCTGCACACTGGTGCATTTACAAATTTATGTTTTATATTCATTTCATTAAAATTTTTTTTACATTTCACAATATAAAGCAATGTTAATTCAGCTCTTAATTTGAATCGAGAAGCAGTATCGGTAAGAGTAGTAATACCGTTAAAACCTTAACGATACCCATCCCTAATCATATGACCCCTTTAAATATACATTAAAAGAGTTCTAACTTATCACTAAGAGGTTAAGTAAAAATATAATGAATATATAGCCTAGCTCTAATATTTCACGAAATGCTCTTGTCTAAACTTCATTTCTCAGGTGAACTAACAAGCTGTGGTCAACTGATGACTTGCCTGAGATAAATGAAATGCTTCGTGACATTTTGTCTACAAGCCGTTTTAATCGCATCTTTCTGCAAATTAAACACTGATTGTGCGATTACATGAGGCATGAGATGTTAATTCATGTTTATTTTGCGTTAAAACTAAGTAAAGAGAAGAAGGGATGCGAGTGGTCAGAACTGAGGCGTTTACAGCGATCTGTCGCGCCTCATCAAAGAGCGCCAAAACGGCATTTATTGTCTGAATTTCCAAAAACAAAACAAAAAAAAGAGGAATCATTTGTTCGGTACACGTGTGTATCGAACCGAATGACCTGTACCGAAAATGATACGTATACAGTTACACCACCATCAGATAATCAATAGTTATGTGTGTGTTCATGCTTAACTGATGCATAATTTTGAACAAGTAAATCATTAATTACTAGTTTATTTATGCTCAATTAATACTTTAATAGTACTTAACTAATGCATTATTCTGAACCCTTAAATAAAGTGTTACCTTTTTATTTGGCAGAAGTTCATTACACAACTTTTGTTAAATTTAATTCAACCTGCTTTAGTAAAATTGTGGTTACTACAGTCATGGTTATTACAGTTTTACTATAGTAAAAGCATGGTTAATTTTCATAAGGGATATGACAAGCACTGAGCACATCCATCTCTGGCTCAGCACCAGCCAAACACGAAAGCATATCTGAATTTAGTAGTTAATCACATGACAAACTGAACAATAATCACTCCGGTGTGATTGTACACGTTAAAGAGCTACTTTACGTCTGAAACTCATGGATTCTCTCCAGGGTGAATCTTCATGTGTTTGTTAAGGTTTCCATTTTGAATGAAGCTCTTTCCACATTGAGAGCATGTGTAAGGTTTCTCTCCAGTGTGAATTCTCATGTGATTTTTAAGGTTTGGTTTATGAATGAAGTTCTTTCCACACAGTTTGCAGGTGAAAGGTTTCTCTCCAGTGTGAGTCCTCATGTGGTCTCTAAGGTTTCCTTTGTGAGTGAAACTCTTTCCACACTGAAGGCAGGTGAAAGGTTTCTCTCCAGTGTGAATTCTCATGTGGTCATCGAGGTGTTGTTTATGATTAAAACTTTTTCCACATTGAGAGCATGTGTAAGGTTTCTCTCCAGTATGAATTCTTGTGTGGCTTTTAAGGGTTGTTTTATTAATGAAACTCTTCCCACACTGTTGGCAGGTGAAAGGTTTCTCTCCAGTGTGAATTCTCATGTGGACTTCAAGATTTCCTTTTTTGGTGAAACTTTTCCCACACTGTTGGCAGATGAAATAACTTCTATTTGCGGTCTTTTGAGCTCTTTTTTGTGAAGTCTTTTCAGTATGTGAGCAACTAAATGATTTTTCATCAGTCATGAAATTATATTTCTCATGCTGAACATTATCTTCCTTTTCATTGAGTTTTTGACTCTCCTCTTTCAGTGTCATCAGGTCTAATGCAAAAAAGACAAATCCAGATTAACACCATTTTTAATGGCACAAAGAACAAACTTCAAAACCAACAACATGTAGATCTTATACACACCAAGCTATTAAAGGAGGTGTTAAAGAGTGGTCGGACGATATTTGGCATTTTTCAACTATCGGAATCGGCCGAAGTTTTTCTGGTTGGCCGATGCATTCGTAGCGGGACCTTTATTTTTTGACAGCATGCCAGACTTTTATTTTGACGGCGCTGATAATGGCAGCGCCTGAGCCCACAGTTTTCCCTCTACTACTTCAATGTCGTCGTTAACAGTTCTGACTAATACGGACAGAGGTCTGTATTATAACGATTGCTTTTATATTGTTAGTATTAGAAAGGCAAACTTTATAATACTTTCTCGTTTGCCGTCAGCATTCAGTAAATACGCATTTATATAATTTAAACAAATCTTTGAATAACTACTGAACATCTACTTTCAAAAACCTTGCAAACTTAGTTAAATCCAGTTGTGAGATCTTGTGACGTTTGCATTTGTATCCTGCATGATCGCATGTTCTCTGCGTGACGGTCGATAAGTGTGAAATGAATACGGACAGAAGGAGAGTTCTGCTTGACTGGAGACGCGCAATCGACAAACTTCAAACTCTGAATTCAAGTTATGCTGCGCTTCATGCTTTTGCCCACTGTCATTTTCACTGCTCTATGTAAAATGAGTGTTACCTTTTTCAAATGATTTCAAATTTCTTAAGTATAAATTAAAATAAAATTATATCGGATTTATATCGGCCATTGGCCACCCAAGATATCGGCATCGGCTGTCAAAAAACCAATATCGGTCGACCACTAGTGTTAAATGTGATCTTAAAATTTCTTCCCATTATTCGAAGTGATGATAAAAAAAAGCAAAGTTTAATGGTAATGGCTCATGTGATCTCAACATGTCTGTCCACACAATGTAGGGTTGCCACCAGTGGGGGCGTTTCACAAAACCATAGGGTATGGCACGTGGGCTACAGGGGGAAGAAAGAAAGCTAAAAAAAAAAGTAAATAATTAAACAACACTGCGTCGTCAGTGTTGGTATTGTATCAGACACTTGCACTTAACAGGCTATATGAAAAACAAGTTCAAATGGAGTTAACAAGGCTTTTGGCCGGCGAATGAGGAGATCTGTTTTTTGTCTGTCAGTAGAACGGCCGCATCTGAGGCAAGTGCATCGCATTATACGCTTTCATCAACTTTTACAGGTTATATAACGTTAAATCATTGTTGCTATATGAAAGCTTAGTTTTTCTTGTTGTTTAAGGCCTACACTTGGCCAAAATCTCATGATATAAACGACTAAGCGCTTATGCACAGGATATTTAAAACGTAGGCCTACAAAAGTATATTGGCTAGACGGCAAATAACCTACTTTTCCGCTCTTCGAACACACAAAAACATTAGCCTTTTACAGACATGGTGTTTGAAGAAAACGCTTTACTTCTTCTGGGTATAGGATTCCATCCTGATTAAAACGCTTTACTATTCAAACATCAGTTATTTACCCTTGCATTGCGAAAAAGCGGAGATCTGTCTGAATGAAGGCGGGGTGAAGTTACGAGGTTTCGCTGAGAGCTTGAGGATCCAATAGTGTTACGAAGTTTTACTGAGAAGCCCTTTGAAATACTTAGCATTGGTTAAATATTTGTAAAACCCTCTGATTTTTATTATTTAATAATAACAAATTATAATAGCGATGTGAAGTTTGGATAATTTTTCACGGCACACCTGACTGGGCTAGGGTATGGCAACTGCCATACGGAAACGCCGCCCCTGGTTGCCACCCTTCCCTAAAAGTATGGAATCGTCGAATCGTCGTGAAAGGCCAAAGTTGAATCAACAAATAAGTATTTTGCACTGTTTATAATTCTAATAGCAATTATAATGAAATTTCAAATGAAGTATTAGAGAAGCCCATTTGCGCGTGATTGCATTTTGGTGTCTTTGTTTCCATAGCGACGGAGTCTCAAGATCGCGCGCCGTTAAAGCAGCAAGCAACATCAGGAGCTCACATCTGCCCTTTGAACACAAGGCTCTCCAGATGTAGGGCTGAATGGGAAAGTTATCAATGGCTCTGTCCAGTAACTAATGATAAAGTGCAGTTTGCAGAGAAGCTTTCAGTTGCTCACGGTGGACTGTCAAAACACTTTGTCATCGTTTACACACCCACAAGTTGTTCCAAACCTATAATAATTCTTGTCTTCTGTTGAACATCAAAGAAGATATTTTGAAGAATGTGGGTAACCAAACAGTTTCTGGTCTCCATTGACTCTGATAGTATTTTTTTCCTCTACTATGAAAGTTACTAGGCGCGTTTCCATTACCCTTCAAATTGCGCAAATTGAAATTGCGAATTGAAAATACGCCTAATGGAAACGCGTCAATTTCTCAAAAACGCCCATATATCGCTAAAAGGTTTTTACGCTCGCATGAGGTGGTTTTTCAGGCAATGCGAAAAGGGAATAATTCTCAAAACTGCAATGGAAACGGCTTTTTTGCATTTACAGGTCACATGGCGTATGTAAAAAGTCATATGATCATTCTTCAATGTACTATAACCTCCAAGAAACACATCATATGTGGCCGCTCTCCAGTATAAGGGGCTTTCCCTACTATTAATACTTAGACAATTTACACTGCATACGTCTGCTGTGCAGTGTGGCTCTGATACGGTCACTGAAGCTGATTGCGGCCACTAGCAATGCTTGTGTTTATGTTTTTATACAGTCTATGGTTTATTCCAGCCGCGCCACGCATGTTTCTGAAGCGGCTCTCTTTGCTGCTTCTGTAAAGATACACGCATACGCCTCCTTTGAATAAATATAGCCAAAATCCGTTGCCACGACTTATCGCGAGAGGCAAATGGTTACGTTTTAGTCACATAACATTGGTTAATGGAAACGCCATCATTTCGCAATACTTTTTTTATTGACATTTGCCAAAGTTTTGCGCAAATCTGTAATGGAAACGCACCTACTGAGGACCAGAAGCTGTTTAGTTACCCACACTCTTCAAAGTATCTTCTTTTGTGTTCAACAGAAAGAAAGAACTTTGTGCAGATTTATAACAACCTGGGTAACCATACCTTTAAAGTGACATTGGCCTATTGTTTTATTAAAATGTGGACAGTCTGTTAATATAATATTCCATACATTATCAGAGCTTGGTAGACATAATTATTATATTTTTAGACATTATTAGACAGATGAATTCATATATTATAATTAATGTTAGACCCTATTTATTGTTCATAAATACATAGTCATATACAATTATTTTTTTTGCCTCGCTGAAGGTGGCAACCCCAACACGATGCGACCCGCTCCATTTCCAATACAACATTTTTAATTTCAAAACTTATGTGACATTCTTCAAAATCCTTTCTGTAGAGCTGGACATTTTAATAAGGATCAGATGAGTGAGTTCAGCTTTGAGAATGAAAACCAACCTGTTTGTTCCTCAGTATCTTCATGTTTGTCTCTGAATGTTTCTTCAATCTTCAGGTCTTCACTCTCCTCTTTAATAAACTCCATCTTTGTTTGTGTCTCAGTATCTTCATGTTTGTCTCTGAATGTTTCTTCAATCTTCAGGTCTTCACTCTCCTCTTTAATAAACTCCATCTTTGTTTGTGTCTCAGTATCTTCATGTTTGTCTCTGAATGTTTCTTCAATCTTCATGTCTTCACTCTCCACTTTAATAAATGCCATCTTTATTATAGTGTGTTACATAGATCTGTAAAAGATTAATCACAGATTCCTTAAGTTATCAACAATATAGATCTTATATAAGCAAGTGTGGAGTGCTCTCAATTCCCTATTAACTACAGAGCATTTATGATATTTCCAGTTAATAATTAAAGGGATAGTTCACCCAAAAATGAAAATTCTGTCATTAATTACTCACCCTCAGGTCGTTCCAAACCCGTAAGACCTCTGTTCATCTTCGGAACACAAATTAAGATATTTTTGATGCATTCAGACAGCTCTCTGACCCTCCCATAGACAGCAATGTAATTACCACGATCAACATCCAAAAACGTAGCAAGGAGACCAGTAAAATAATCCATGTGACATCAGGGGTTCAACC